GGATCAGAGAGGAGGAGAGACTTATTTACCTCACAATGTTCTCATGAGGAAATACTTTTTAAAATTTAAAGCTATAGAAATATGAATTCTTCTTATCATAGACTTCTATTATAAAATTTAAAATGCATTTCAGTTTTTAAAAATTTCTAATCTAATGAGCTAACTGGGGAGAGGGCTGGTGACCAAAACAGAGGAGATGCCAGTTTTACACATAACTACTATTGAAAAATGAACATGTTGAGACCACTGGCTTGTTCCCAGAGTACTTTTCTTACAACATTGGAAGTTTAGGTAGTCAAAGAAATACCACCCATGTTTTACAGATGAAACTGAAACTTGGAGAGAGGATGGAACTTGCCCAGAATCACACAGCTAGTAAGGGTCAAGGTCAAGGTCAAGGTCGGGATCCGAACCCAGGTCTGTTGACTCTAGGCTTACCATCTTTAAGGGCCATTCTTCTGTGGAGCTACTGATACACCCAGGGGCCAAGCCCCATTACAAACTCAAATATTTTCAAGTTATTTGATTAAATATCAGTGTTATATGTAAGGAAAGCAGGATTTGGAGTCCAAGGACCTGGGTTGAATCCAGGCTGGACTACTTACTCTATGTTTGACCCTGGGCAAGTCAATTTCTTCCCTAAGCCTCAGTTTCCTTACCTGTAAAATGAGAGGTTTGGACTAGCCACCTGTAAGGCCCCTTTCCAGCTCTAAATCCTATAAAATTATTTGAGTAAAAGGGCAGCCTAGGTGGCACAATAGATAGGCCTGGTGTTCGGAAGCCCTGAGTTCAAATCTAGCCACAGACACTTATTAGCTATGTGACTCTAGTCAAGTCATTTAACCCTGTTTGCCTCAGTTTCCTCATCTGTAAAATGAGCTAGAGAAGGAAATGACAAACCACTCCAGTGTCTCTGCCAAGAAAACCCCAAATGGGGTCACAAAGAGTAGGACATAGCTGAGCAATGTTTGAATAAAAACATATCTCTAATTTTACCATGGGAAGTCAAAGAAAAGGTTCAGCTCACTAGACAGAATTTTGTTTTCCCTCCCCCTTTGTTAAGACTGTACCCATTCCATCCCGGAATTCTTAGGGAACACTCAAGTTCACTCGAGCACTGTGGGTAGAAGGAAATCCAGTCGTGATTGAATCTAGTCATGCATAATCAGGGATGACTTCCTGGAGGAGGGGGTTTTTGAGCTGGGGTTTGGTGGTCAGAGGCTTGTATGAGCAGAGGGGAATATATTAGGGAATGGGACTTTGATGTTTGGGCTGGGGGGCCTCCTGACTTGCCCATTATTCTCTGCCCCCATTGCAGTGTACCCGTTCTTGGGAGATGCTACAGTCACAAAGGCATGTGCCCAGAAGTGTGTGCCCTCAGATGTGGATGGCATCGGTCTGACTCGGCCTGTCTCCTGCTGTAACCAAGACCTATGCAACACAGGGGGGGCTGCTGCCCTGGGGAGCTTTGGGGGAGTGGTCTTCACCCTCCTCTTCTTCACCTTCCTCCTCCTATACACTAGGATCTAGAGGGACAAGGCTGGACAAGTGTTCCCCTCTCCCTTCTTCCTACTCTGATGGTTCCCCTCTTGTTTCCTTTTCACTATCCAGAGGTGTGACATCTCCCCAACCCTAGCTCTCCCCGGTCTCTATGCTGTAGATTATGGGAGAGAATGGTGTCACCGGCCTGAGGGAAAAATGGAATTTCTACCCTCAAGAATCCCCAGTCTGAGAGGGAGACTCAGCCCTGTCCCTCAGGGAGTTCTGGGCTGAGCCAAGCAGATACAGTCCTTGTCTCCTTCCTTCCCTTTCTATCACTGGTCTCAGCTTGCACATCTATAAAATGGGGATTACAGCACCTACCTCACAAGGTTGTTATAAGGATCAACTAAGACATGTAAAGCCTAATAAACTATAAATTGGCATATAAATCTTAACGTTAGCTATTATCATTATTATTAACCTCCACTCGGTCTCTTTTTTCTCTCCCTTTCTGTTTCTCACTCTGTCGCCTTTCTACCTGTCTCTGTCTCCTCTTTCTCTCTGCTTTTGCTGTCTGTTCTCCTCTTTTTTCTGGGTCTCCACTCACAAGTTTGTCTCCTCCCTCCCGACAATTAAAAATGCCCTTCCACAGACTGGGTGACCTCATCGGTCACCCAGCTCAGTGGAGCGGTTCCAGCAGAGACTGAATGGCCACTTCTCAGGGGCATTTCAGAGGGAATGTTTACTCTTCTGAGGAGGAGCGGCTTCTCATCTCTAAGGCTCAAGTTTCTCACCCGTAAAAGGGAAATAAAAATAACTTCACTACCTATCTCAAAGAATGTTTTGAAGAAGGTGTTTTGTGAACCCAAAAGCCCTACAGAAATGCGACCTCTTCTGTACACACAGACACAGGGAGCACATGCCTCAACCCCAAAGACTCAGATTCACACATGCACAAAGAATAACACTTGGCATTTCTATATTGGCAAAAGGTTTGCATAAGCAGCTAGGTGGTGCCGTGGATAGAGTGCCAAGCCTGGAGTCAGAAAGACTCATCTTCCTGAGTTAAAATCTGGCTTCAGGCACTTAGCTGTGTGACCCTGGGCAAGTCACTTAACCCTGTTTGCCTCAGCTTCCTCTTCTGTAAAATGAACTGCAGAAGGAAATGGCAAAACACTCCAGAATCTTTGCCAAGAAAGCCCCAAATGGGGTCACAAAAAGTCAGACATGACTGGAAAACAACTGAACAACAAATAAGCTTTGCAGGGCACTTTACACATATCATCTCTTTGTTATTCCCATTTTACGGATGAGTAAATTGAGGCTCAGAAAAGTTAAACCATTTGACCTTGGTCACACAACTAGTCAATGTTGAAGACAGAATTTGGACTCAGAACTCTCTTGACTCCAAGCCCAACACTCTATCCACTATGCTAAGCTGCCTTCCCAACAAAGCTTCCTAGATCTGCCAATTACTTGACCTTGGTCATACAATATTCATTCAGTGCAGATATGCAGGCAGACACAGTCACAAATATTTACACAAGGACACATTCATAGAGATGTACATTCCAAGATAGAAGGGACAGAGTGGGAAGAGCGGTATGAATGGGAGGGGAGAGGGGCATGCAGAGACCCCTCTAGAATCTCATCTTCACCTCCTGACTCACAGTCCATCCAGTGAGCTGGCCCAGTAGGCCCTGAGCAAAGGAGATGCTGACCCCAAGAATGATTCAGGCAAGAAAGGAGGGCCTGATCTCAGTACTGATGATTCTAGATTTATGTAAATTTGAATTATGAAAATTCTACTTTACATTAAGAATTCTGGAAAAAACCCACATTCCAAAAAAACCACCAGTGTGGTTTGCTTTACAGTAGTACTATTCTCACTCTTTGTTTCTCTGTCTCTCTCTATTTCTCTTCACCTCCCCTTGCCCTCCTTCACCCCACTCCTGCCCCTCCACTGGGCTCTCCCTGGCCTCTCACCCCCCACCACGAAAATTAAAAAAAAAAAAAAAAACCTTTCAAGTGAAAGAAGAATAATGGAAGTACAGAAACATAGTAGGCCATGGCCACCTTCAATAGAGACCCCAGGTGAGGAGACCTTTGCCAGCTCCAACCACACTGGTCACCTACCCTCTCCTGTCTGTGTCTGTGTTTGCCCCCCATTCTTCCTCCAGCCCCCACACGTGACTGGTCAAGGCCTCTGTGCTTCCTCCTGCTCTTGTTTCTTTGTATCTGGCCCCTCACGCGTCCTTGAATTATGTTCTCCCTCCACTGTACGTGGCCCCCTTCCTGCTCCCTCCCTTCCTTCCTTCCCCAGACCCTGGCAAATTCAAATTAAGTATTTATATAGAGGTCTGCTGAATGGTCCACTTAGGTAAAGCGAGAATTGTCTGTACATATGTCAATCATGTTTATTCCGTTCCAATGAGGAGGCAGCTTAGACCTGGGTTCCAGTCCCAGCTCTGCCCCTAACTGACCCCTTGGGTCCTAGGACAAGTGCCTTTCCTGATCTGGATTTCACTTTCCTTATCTGTAAAGGAGAAAGTTGGATTCTACCGTCTCTAAGGCCTGATCCCTGCTGCTCCTCTGAACTGCTGATCCCCAGGCAGTCACCAGGACCAGTGGGTGAGCAGAGGAATCTGCCAGACCTGGTCAGTATGCTGATGTTTTCCCAGTGGTGTAGCTGATGCTTTCTGTCCCACCTCTGACCCTCTAAGAAGTATAATGTGGCCACACATCTCCCAGACCCCAGAGTTCACACAAACTTGTCCTGAGTCTATAATCACTCCTGCTCATCTCCTTTGAACACAGCATTGTACTGGTCCACAAACTGCCCTTACCCCATGTTCTCCTCTACCCGCTTAGATCTCCCCCATGAGCACAGCAGTTCCCAGGCCCACACCTGCTCTGCTGCCCTTCACCCCACATTTTTCTGACCATGTATACTCACCTTCCCCAACCAGTCCTCCCCAAGGGCAGGCAGGGCCCAACCTGATCTGGCAGCCTGCTGCCCCACTGCACACCTATGCAGAGGGAAGAGAGCAGGGCCAGGGGAGAGGGGGAGGGGTCAGCCCACCAATAATACCGTACCTATGTGACCCTGAGCAAGTCACTTTGGGCCTCAATTTCCTTCTCTGTGGAATGAGGAGGGTGGGATTAAATGACTGCTTTAGTCCACTCTGGCTTTCAGTGAATGAGCCTAGGAGATCAGGAAGCACATAATATACTCTCTCTCCCTCTCTCTTTCTTTCCCCGATGATCCCCAATCGCACCTGCCCCTCCTCCTCACTCCCACCCGTTTCTGCTCCTAGCGCTCCCCAACCCCATCCTTTCTGCCTTCTTGCGCCTCCTCCCTCACCACCTCCGCTCCCCCCTACACACACACAGCTCCGAGGCTTCTCCATGCATGACTGCTCTTCTTACCTGTCTGCGCTCCCTGCACCCTCCTCGCACTCGATTCCCCGCCCAGCCCACACCCCACTGGGTTACTACTTACCTGTGTCCTCCCCGGAACTCACCCAAGCTTCCCAGGACATCGTGCTCGCTCTCCCCTTCTCTCCCGCCAGCTCCTCGTTCCCCGAGAGTTCTGCCTCTCGAGTTTCTGCCCTCCACCAGGCAGGCTTCCCCTCTGCCCCCACACAAACTCTCTTTCCCTGAGGACCCTCCAGACCCCCCACCCCCACCCCAGCTTCCTTGTGCACCATGCCCAGGCCTGTCCTGGCTGTCCTGCTTCTGGCTGCGGCCTCCCTGCCCCTAGGTGAGTATCAGCCACTCCAGGACCTCCGCAAGGTGATGTGGGGAGGGGGCGGACACCAGGAGTGCCTGGGAGCGCTTAGAAAGTCCACCTAATCCTCTCCAGCCGTGTGCCAGCTCCGGGGAGGTGGGGAGGGAAGGCTTTTGGCTTCCTAAGATCCTGGCACTGACCTGCCTAAGGTGGGGAGATGACCCTCCTGGGCAGGAGCAGCTTAGTTCCCTCTATCTAATTAGTTTTCTCCAAATCCTCCGGGAGCCCGTTTTGTTTTTTGTTTGTTTGCTTGTTTGTTTTCAAGAAGGATTTTCTAACAATCTGAGCTGCCCCATGGTGGAATAAGTCTGGAAAGGAAATGCGCTTCCAGCCACTGGGTGATAAGCAGACTCTGTGACCAGCCAGGGCTGGGGGTGGGGGCGGTGTCCAGCACAGAACTGAAAGTTCTACTAAGTGACCTGTACCCTGCGATCCACTCTGCAATACTGCGGTTCTTGGAGCCTAAGATTCTCAACCTCTGTGATTCCAAGAGTCTAAGGTTCAGCCATTCTGCCCCCAACCTGGATCGCCCCTGCCCCTTTCCACTAGGTTGAAAGAAGCTGAGCAGAGAAGATGGGGACAACAGTCCTTCAAGGTAACTTCTCATTAGGGGAAGAATTGACAGGCGGAGGACTCTTACTTTGGCAGAGTCCCTATATGGGATGCCAAGCCTTCACTGGTTTTCTCCAGCCCTGACCCTCCTGCCACCCAAGCATGTCCAGACCCTGGGCATGTATGTGTAACAAATATGCAACTTACATATTGTTTTATATTTGAATTGCTCTGTCTAAAGATTGTGTCCTCTAAGTTATGCTCATGCAGGCTGGAAGCCCTTTGAGGCCCTGAGGAATATAGTATACAGTATAGTCACAGTACAGATTGACAGCAGGAAGTGACCCTAGAGTTCAGGCAATCCAATCACTTACCCTACAAATTAGTGGCTGAGCAGGATTCCTTTGTCAACAAGCTCAAAAACTTTTCCCACTTAGGGGCAGGTACGGTGATAGCATGTATGGACCCATCCACATTCCCAGTAGTGATTCAGAGCAACTTTGTATGTATAGTTATTTTAAAAAGCACAGTCCCTAATGGGTGTGGGGTGGGGTAGGGCAGGGGAACAGGGACAGGATGCCAAATATCGGTGTCAGGACTCAAGGTCTTTCTGGGGTGGGGTTGGTTTTAGACCCATTACCATCTAGGGGAAAGATTAGATTCATCTGTGATCTGATGCCTTCATCTAAGACCCTCGCCCCTGGGAATTCTCCTAATTATTCTCTTTCTTGAGGTCCTTGGAGTTGAAATAAAGACCCCTGGACTTAGGAATCAGTACACCTAGATAATCTCTTAAGGTCCCTTCCAGCTCTGACATTCAGTGTTCCAAACATCCTTCACACTCTGATACTCAATGTCCTAAGTGAGAACCTTTCCAGCTTTATTACTTTGTGTTCTAAGGCACTTCCACTTCTAATATTTTATGTTCTAAAGTCCCTTCCAACTCAGATGTTCAATGTTCTTTGTTCTACGGTGCTTCTCAGGACTAATGTTCTAATATATCTTCCATCCCTTACAGATTATGTTAAGGGTTCTTAATCTTTGTAGTGTCATGAATTTCTTTGACAGTCCAGTGAAATGTATGGACTCCTCAGAATGATGCTTTTAAATTCACAAAATACAGGGGACTGAAAAGAAAACAAATTATATTGAATTATGGTTATCAAAATATTAAAAAAAAAAGTTCACAGACTCCAGGGTAAGAACCCCTGGCTATGATATACTGTGATTCTAATGATTCTAAGTGGATAAATGAAGGCTCTGTGTGTGGGGTGTGTGTGTGTGTGTGTGTGTGTGTGTGTGTGTGTGTGTGTGTGTTTGTGTGTTTTGGGGTCAGGGATGGGGTAGAAGGGCATAGCAATGAGGGAAGCAAAGAGACTCTTTGTGGTTGGAGAGGAAGGATATCTGGAGTATAGGAGAGCAAAGGGACAGCAGTCCCAGAATCACAGGACCCTGGCATAGACAAAACTTTGCAGAGCAAACCACTGATGTCATAGGTCATTTCATCTAGTTTTCCTCTACATTCCCATACCCACTCCCCCTCTTCCTATTTGTCCCCATTGTGGGAGAGAGACTTGGTCTGGGTTGGAGAGATGATTGACAAACAAGAAACCAAAAGCAAGACATTACAAACTATTAGTGAACTGCCAAAGTGAAGGTAAGGTCTTTAGGACTCAGAGTTGAGAAATTAGGGAAGACTTCCTGGTGGCAGTATGATTTGAGCTGGTCCTTTGTAAGGGGATCGAATTTTAGAGTTGAAAAAGACCTCAGAGATAATTTTGCCCAACCAACCCCTCTCCCCATTATACAAATAGCTTGTCCCACAGTAACGGACAGGCAGTAAGTCACAAAGCCACACTGGAACCCAGGTCTTTGAATTCCAGGCCCAGGACTCCTTCTGTTGTGTCACATAGCCCTTCCTCCAATGGGGATTCTAGGAAACATCAGGCCCAGAACAAGCCAGGGAGAGAAAAACCAGGACTAGAAATGGACTCCTGGCCAAAGCCTTCCCTTTCTCCATCCCCTGTTTACCAAAACTTGAGCAAAGAACCCAAGCACTCATAGGAACTCAGCAATTCCTGGGCAGAACAGTTAAGCCTATGATTACCAAGAGTTATCTTTGGCACTTACCCAGGGGCAGCTAGGTGGCTTAGGGGATAGAGCACTGGGCCTGGAGTCAGGAAGACCTGAGTTTAAATTTGGCCTCAGATACTTACTCAGACAAGTTACTCCAGTCTCTTTGAAGTATGGATAGTATGGTCCACAGGGTCATGAAAATTGGGCATGACTCAGCAACAACAACAAAGTCCCTGGCATATACCCAGATTTTTCTTATAACCATTAACTTCTGTCCTCCCTGTTTATCCCAATCTTTTTTGGGACAGGACCAGTGCTGGATGGTATACAACACAGAGAGTGCCAGACTTGGAGTCAGGAAGATCTGACCAGTTCAGATTTTGTCTCAGACACTGGGCAAGTCACTTAACCTCCTTCAATGTCAGTTTCCTCATGTGTAAAATAGCACCTACTTCCCAGGACTGTTGTGAGGATAAAGTAAGGTTAAATTTTTAAAGTTATTGCAAACTTCAGAGGCAGCTAGGTGGCACAGTGGATTGAGCACCACGCTTGGCATCAGGAAGACTCATCTTTGTGAGTTCAAATCTGGCCTCAGACACTTACTAGCTATATGACTCTGGACAAGTCACTTAACCCTGTAAAATAAGCTGGAGAAGGAAATGACAAGCCACTCTAGTATCTTTGCCAAGAAAACCCCAAATGAGGTCCTGAAGAGTCAGACACAACTGAAAAAACTTTAAAACCCTATATAAATGCTATTTTTATTATTATTACTGAAACTCTTTCAACCAATGAAGTTCTGTATAAGTTCTAGAGAGCTGCCTGGGGCCCTGAGAGGTTAAATGATTTTATCCAAGGTCACATAATTAAGATGTATCAGAGGGGGAATTTGAATTCAGGTCTTCCAGACTCCAAGGCCAATCCATTACCAAATCTGTCCATTACCATACTGCCTTCAATCCTGTCCCTCCTTAAATGATAATAGTTATAACTACAATTTTATAGCACCTTGATATATAAAAAGTACTTTCCCTACAACCTTATAAGGGAGATGGTACGGGCATTGTGCTCATTTTGCAGATGAGGAAACCGAGGCTCTGAAAGACTTTAGTTACATGGTTATTAACTAGGAAAGCTGGCATTGGAACCCAGATCTCATGATTCTGCCACCTCCTTCAGAAAACCTTCCCAAATCATGCCAATACAGGTCACTTGTTTTCTTTTCCCTACTGACTACCTGAACCTGGGGACTCAGAGGTATCATAATCAGTCTTCTTGGGTGATTTTGTTTTCTACAGCCAGACCAGGAACTCTTGAAAGGCTAGATTCAGGTTCCTTCTTCCGTGTAGCTTCCCCACATCTTGCTGAGCAAAGGACCCAACACACAGTGGGGAATGCTAATTACGTAAATTTTGAATGAATGAGAAGCCGTGTGGGGAAAAGGAAAGACCCATAGCCTAGGCCTCAGAAGGTAAGGTCAAATCCTGGCTCAGCCCATGACTTAATGTGAGACTGTGGACAAGTCACTTCCTCTAAGAGGGAATTTCCATATTCAGTTGCGGATGCCAGATTTTAGGACAGCTCCTGACCAGCTCAATCCCATTCAGAAAAGGTCAAGCAAGGGAGGAGGTCAAGAAAGGAGGAGACCATGTAATGTGAGAATCAATTGAAAAAAGTGGAAAGAGAAGACCTTAGAGAAGAGAGGACTTGGGCATGAGAGCTGACCGCAAATATCTGAAGGACTGTCACAGAACAGAGATTAGATTGTTCAGCCTGGACCCAGATGATGGCCACTGATGGATGAGGGCCAATGGGATGAAATTACAGGTAGGAACTTTAGGTTCACTGGGAGGACAACTTTCTAATAAGTAAAGCTGTCCCTCAATAGAACAGACTGGTTGAGAGATAGAGCAGTCCTCACCACTGGCAGGTAAACTCCTTGCTAGTAGGGACTGTTTTGTTTATTATTTTTGTGTGCCTAGTACATAACCCAGTAGCTGGCAATTTATTTGTGGTTGTTGAGTCGTTTCAGTCATGTCTGACTCTTCATGACCCCATTTGGGATTTTCTTGGCAGAGATACTGGAGTGGTTTTCTATTTCCTTCTCCAGCTCATTTTACAGTTGAGGAAACTGAGGCAAACAGGGTTAAGTGACTTGCCCAGAGTCACATAGCTAGTAAGTGTCTGAGGCCGGATTTGAACTCATGAATACAAATTCCAAACCCAGTGCTTTATCCACTGTGCCATCTAGCTGCCCCTTTGGCTATTTGTAGGGGCTTAATAAATGCTTGCTAATTGATTGACTGATTGATTGAAGCTAAAGCTATATGACCTGGTGTAGTTAAAGTATCGCAGAAAGGATTCTTGCTCAGGGATTGATCTACCTATTGCCCTAGGTCCCTTCTTGAAAGTTGACACAATTGCTATGTTTTTTGATGCATGAATCCCTTAGGAATCAAGGGAAGGGAAAGCATAGGGATAAGAATGTCCAGTACAGTATATGCATTCATTAAATGTGTAAGGGATGCATATTTTTAAAAGCTCTCTAAAGTAGACCTTTTCTTTATTGTTAAAAGAAGAAGCATCCTTGCCTTTTTCGTGTTGTGATATCTTTTTAAAATAGCTTTTAGCATGCAAATTAGAAGGGGTAGGCCGGAACTAACTGGGACTGATTGTTAAATTTTGAGCATGATCATTCACACCTCAGGATTTGGAAAAACTGGAAATCAGCACTTGATTTGCTATTGTATCGATTGTCCACCAGGGGTAGGGAACCTTCGGCCTCCAGGCCACACGTGGCCCTCTAGGTCCTCAAGTTCAGCCCTTTGAATCCAAACTTCACAGAACAAATCCCCTTATTAAAAGGATTTGTTCTGTAAAACTTGGACTCAGTCAAAAGGCTGCACCCAAGGACCTAGAAGGCCACAGGTTCCCCAGTCCCAGTCTAGACTTAAGAAGGTGATGGGAAAAATATTAGTAATGCTGATAACATTTAAAAGTATGTTGTACGGCTTCTTTTCCCCCCAGAGAACAACTTGTTAAACATTTACCACTATACCTCTGCTTCTAGTTAAGATTCTTTTGTTCTTTCAAGGCTTTGGTTTCTTATCTGTTCAAGGTAGACTAAATGATCTCAGAGGTCCTATTCAGCTCTTACTGTATGAGGAAAAAGAATTTACTTCTGTCAGAGCTGAGGCATCCAGTCAGGCATAAAAGAGCTTGGCCAGCAGGGGGCAGACAGTCCTGCCTGGTGGCTGGATCGGATAAGCAAATTACATATATGGAACAATAGGTTTTAATTTGGTAGTCAGCACCTACTCTGTGTACATTACTGAGCAAGGCCCTGGGCATACACAGAAAAAAAAAATGAAATAACCCCCACCCTCAAAGAGATTATAATGGAGGGATTGGGGTGAGAAGAGGAGGAAAGAGAATTCTGTAGTCTAGAAAAGGTCTTCCTTCAGGTCCCTCTCCCTCTATTAGCACCTGAACTACACAATTTCCTGTGTATTAAGTATATTAAGTCCTGTCTCCCTCATGGAGTTCTCCCCAGGGACAGGCGCTTTTCCTCCTCCTGTCTCCCGTACCATGCATCAGAACTCCGAGCAAACAAGTCAAATGTTTCAGTTCAGTTTGGCCAACATAGAGATCAAATGGGAATCATTCTTGTGAGGACAGACTGAAAAAGTAAGCCTGCCCTTTCTGAAGAGATGGGGGCTGAGAAGGGTCAGAATCAAAGCCTATAAGCTCATGGAGAAGACAGGTAGAGTCTGGACATGTCCAGAACCTTAGAAACTACCCCTTGAGGAGTCTTAGGGAGCTGGAAAAAAAATGAGTCAAAGTACAATCTCGAGTTAGAAATGAGACTAAAGAAGATGAATGCTGGGAAGACTGGAAAGCAATCTGGCAGAAGCTAGGTATAGACCAAGATCAGTTCAAAATGGATACATGACCCAGACATAAAGGAAATAATCATAAGTAAATTAAAAGAACGTGGAACATATTACCTATCAGATATATGGATAGGAGAAGAATTTATGAATAAATAAGAGATGGCATCATGGAATGTAAAATGGGTGATTTTGATTACATCAAATTAAAAATGGTTTGTACAAATAAAATCAATTTAGCCAAGATTAGAAGGAAAACAGAAAATTGAGAAAAAACACAACTTATAGACAGTTTCTCAGATAAAGATCTCATATCTCAAATATATAGAGAACTAAGTCAAGTTTATAAGAATATGAATCATTTCCCCAATTGATAAATGGACAAAGGATATGAACAAGCAATTTTTGGAAGAAAAAAATCAAAGCTATATATAGTTACATGAAAAAGTGCTGAAGGGATTATGAGTGGAAAATTTTAAGATGCCCTGCACTAAATCATTATTGATGAGAGAAATGCAAATTAAAACAACTTTGAAGTACTATCTCACACCTATCAGATTGGCTGAAATGATAGAAGGGGAAAATGACAAATGTTGGAGGGAATATGGAAAAATTGGGACACTAATACATTGTTGGTGGAATTGTGAACTCATCCAACCATTTTGGAGAGCAATATGGAACTATGCCCAAAGAATTATAAAGCTGTGTATATCCTTTGACCCAGCAATACCACTACTGGGTCTATTTCCCAAGGTGATCAGGGAAAAAGGAAAAGAACATATATGTTCTAAAGTACTTATAACAACTCTTTGTTGTGGTGGCAAAGAACTAGAAATTAAGGGGATGCCCATCAATTGGGGCACGTCTGACTATGATTGTGTTGGAATACTGCTGTGCTGTAAGAAATGATGAGCAGGTTGATTTTAGAAAAACATAGAAAAACTTGCATGAAATAATGAAGAATGAAATGAGCAACACCAAGAGAACATTGTATACAGCAACAGCAATAATGTTCCAAGAGTAACTGTGAATGGCTAAGCTATTCTGAGTAATATGAATATTCTAATCAACCACAAGGGATCTATGAAGGAAGATGCTATCCACCTCCAGAGAAGGAAATGACATAGGTACTATAGGGTTTCATATATGTGTGTGTGTGTGTTTTATATGTGTGTGTTTCATATGTGTGTTTTATATGTGTGTGTGTGTTTTATATGTGTGTGTGTGTCATATGTGTGTATTTCATGTGTGTGTGTGTGTGTTTTAAATGCTGGCCTACTTTTGTGTGGGGTTGGGAGGTGGGAGGGTAACAACTTGGAACTCAAAATATAGCCAAAAAATAAATAAAACAAATATTAAATAAAAAAGAAAATGCTCTATCATCTGCTTTGCTGCTGCACCCTAAGGACCACTGGACCTTTCCATCTGTCCTACAGATGAACCCTCCTATAGGTATTGTCTCCCTCTATTAAAATGTGAGCTCCTTTGGATAACAACAACAACATCTAGCATTTCTATAGTGCTTACTATGTGCTTGGCACTGTGCTAAGTGCTTTACAGTTATTGTCTCATTTTATCCTCACAACAACCCTGGGAGGTAGGTGGTATTATTCTCCCCATTTTACAGATGAAGAAACTGAGGCTGAGGAAGGTGAAGTGACTTGTCTGGTCGTGTAGCTAGTAAGTACGGTCTTCCCACCATGTTTTGGTTTTGCTTTGAAATCTCCATTACTTAGCATTATAATAAGTGCTTTTACATTCAGGGATGTTAAAGAATCACTGATTTAGAGCTTTAAGGGACCTAAAACACAATCTCATCTTATACCTTCTTTAATAAATAAGTAAGTTAAAGTCCAGAAAGGTTAACCGTCTTGCCCCAGGTTATTAGGATAATAGGTAAAAGACCGTGGATTCAAAATCAGTTCTTCTTTAGAGGGTCCTCAGCCACTGAGAGAGCCCCAGGCTAGACAAGGAGACCTCCTGGAAAGGAGGGAAATCCCTGGAAGTTGGTATGGAATTGAAGAGAGCTCAAGGGTCTGAAGTCTGTCCCTATCCTGGAAAGGCTAGTACAATCTCTTCCGTATGAGCCCTCAGGCTCTGTCAGTGCTGGAATCCCAGGCAGGGGTTACTAAGGGGCTGAGCTCCAGAGGCATTCCTGGTGTTACATCCACCCCCTACTTCCTTCATGAATGGGAGTTAATTGGACAAAGCAGCGGTCACACACATCCAGCATCCGCACCAATTGTGTATGTGCCCCTGTATTTGTGGTTTCACGATTATGTGTCTGATGGTATATTTGTGTCTATCTTTCTGTGCCCTAGGTGTATGTATGTATGCAGGTATGTATGTATTGTAAGCACACGTCAGTGTGACTCTGTATATATGTCTGTTTATGTCACCGTTTGTCTGAATGTGGCTGAACCAGTATCATAGAATGGTGGAAAGGAGCCCGGACAGTCAGAAAACCAGAGTTCAAGCTAAATACTTGTCATTTCCCCTCTCTAGACCTCATCGCCTTTTGTGTGATGAGGGGCTTGGATTCTATGACCTCTGAGACCATTCAGTTCTAAGTCTGTGGTCCGAGGATGTGTTTTAGGGTCATAGATTTAGGGCCTGGAGGGCTTTTAGAGGCCGGTGAGTCTAACCCGGTCATTTTACCATTGAGAAATCTGAGACACAAAGAGGTTAAGAGTGTTCCTCAAGGTCACATAGCCATTTAGTGCCTGCAGTGGAATTCGAACCCATATTGAGCACAGTGTCCATGCTACCTATTCTCGTCTCTGCCCAAGACTGGGTTTCTGTGCCTCTCCCGGTGCCTATATCTATGTCTCTGTCTCTGTCTCTGTCTCTCTCTCTGGGTTTATATTTCTGTATCTGTCCATGTAGGTCTATGGGTGCCTCTGTGTGTGTGTATGTACTGAGAATGCCTCTGCATTGCAGGCAGTTTCCTGAGCTGCTTCTCCTGCTCCAAACCCACAGCCTTGTCTCTCTGTACTAACGTAGCCAACTGTTCAGCTGCAGAGGGATGGTGCAAAACCACACTGCTGTCTCTGCAAACAGGTAAGGCCAGGACATAGCTGGGAAGATTCCAAGGCCTCTGAAGGCAAGGGAAAATTAAAGCACTGAGTCAGAGGGACCTTATTCTGGGGGACAGAGCAGCCAGTGATGGGGCCCCCTGGTTACCTTGTAAACAGCCAGCTCCCAGTTATCTGTTTGCAAATTCACTAACCAAATCTCTGAGTGTTTGTGAGTAAGGACTGTTTCATTATATTTGTGTGCCTGGTACCTGGTGTAGTGCCTAGCACATAGTAATTGCTTAATAAATACTTAACTGATTGATTGATCTCTAAGGAGATTTCCAGATCTAAATCTGTGACTCCAAGCTGTGTTAGGTCACAGATTTAAACCTGTAGTGGACCTCAGGAGAGGGAGTGAAGACAAATGGGGCCAAATTTCAGCTCATATGTTCACAGAATGGTAGTCATTCAATGACTTATTTTATTGATGGAGGGGCCTGAGACCTAGAGAGGGGCCATGACCTGAACAAGGTCACACAGCAAGACGGGGATTTCATCAAGAATAGAACCCCAGATCTCCTAATTCCTAGTCCTAATTCCTATCCTTTTTCTATTTTCTCCCCACCCCCACTTCAATATAAGAAAGAACTTTTCAACAATGAGAGCTGTTCCACCATGGGATAGACTATCTCAGAAAGTAGTAAGCTCCCCATCACTATAGGTATTCTGGCAGAAGCTGGCCGCCTCCTCCCCAAGTATATATGCTCTGCTAAGGAGGACAAAATTTGATTTCTGAAGTCCATTCTAAAACTGGGATCCAGAATTCTCGGTGTTAGCATGAATGGCTATGAGAAAGGAAGAAGGACAGAAAGAAAGAAAGAAAGAAAGAAAGAAAGAAAGAAAGAAAGAAAGAAAGAAAGAAAGAGAAAGAAAGAAAGAAAAAGAAAGAAAGAAAGAAAGAAAGAAAGAAAGAAAGAAAGAAAGAAAGAAAGAAAGAAAGAGAGCTGAAAGAAGGAATAGAGGGAGAACTAGATCTGGAGTTGGAGGACTGTGCTTTGAATCCCAGCTCTGTGTGTGACCATGGACAAATCACCTCCTCTCTCTGCGTCTCAGTTTTCTTATCTGTAAAACGAGGAAGTTGGACTAGATGACCTCTAAGGTCCCTTCCTCTGTGTGTGTGTGTGTGTGTGTGTGTGTGTGTGTGAATCTAGGATTTTTTGGTTATTATGGCTCTGAATATCTCTGGTGTTATTCATGTCACAGAAGATAGGAATATGAAAGTCTAGCCGAAAGCAGCAAACGATGGACTTTATCTCACTCTTCTCCCCTGTGGGATTTTTCAGGTTATCCCTTCATGGAGGAGAAGACAGTTCAGCGAGGGTGTGCGACCTCCTGTATCCCCACAGATCCTGATGCCATTGTAGAATTTCAGCCCATACTCTGTTGCAACACTGACCGCTGTGTTGGCAATGGTGCCCCGGTGCCCCAAGGATCTGGTCTTATCCTGACTGGATTCCTGTCTATCCTGCTCAGTGCTGGCTGATGAGGGTAGGGGAGGTCAGGGTCAGACTGCTACCCACTTTAAATAATCCCTGTCCATCCCTGAAAGCCTGAACCTAGGGATTTATACCAGCTGCCTAAGATGAAGCCACTAGATCATGGTGGGGGGAGGGAAGAGAGGAATGGAAGAAAAAGGAGATTTGGCCATTTCCTGGATGCTCCGGATTGCTCTGCCAGAAAGACATGGCCCGTTTCCTCAGAGGAAGCCTAGTCAAGAAGCAGCCAATCTGAGGGGAAGACTAGTTTTTTGCCCTGGGGGAGCCTCTGGTTTGAGGGAGAAACAATGTTTGTGTTGTCAGGAAAGAATGCTAGAGAGAAAGGAAATCAATGACAAACCTGACAGCAAAACTACCGAATAGTCACAAATATATTTGAATTTCATACCTTTTACGTTTGTCACCAGGGAGAAAAACAAGGCCAGCCCTATCATATAGAAATGTTTGAGATTCTGAAACCAACACGGCTTACAATAATCCTAGTCAGCCTTTGAAATCTGAGAGCAAACAGAAGCCCAGTTCAATGAGCTTGCTAATTATTCTTTCTGGTTCATGACATTGGCCGTGGCTAGGGATTGCAAGCATCTCCAGGACAGGGAAAATGCTTTTCTTTTCTGCTCAACACCCAACAGAGGATCCCAAGAGCTGAAAAATTAATCAAGTGGGAACTGAAGATTAATTAATCAGGGGCTTGCACAGAAATCTGAATATAGGAGCCTAGGAAAAGTATTAAAGCTCTTTTCACACACAATCCTCTCTTGTGTGTTAGGGTTTCTTTTAGGATTAGTCAAAACATAATGCCCTCTTTGAACTCAGACTTAGTGATTTGAGTGGCCCAGATAGAGAAGCCTGCCTGCCCCCATTCCCACCCTAAAGCCTCTGCCCCACTGTCACAGTGCCTGAGATCCACCATCAGAGCATTTTTACTTTGAACTCATGATCTGTTAGAAAGAGCACTTAGATGGGAAATGGAATAACCAAGCTCACAGTACTGATAACTGACAGAACCAAGACTCAGAACATAGGAACACAAGCTCTTGCAGGCACACTCTTGCTTTTGTCTTTTTTTCCCCAGCATCTGAAAAATAGTAGGCAATTAATAAATACAAATTGAATTGAACTGAATTCGAATCCAGGTCCTCAGGCTCAAAAGGCATTCTTACCACTGTACCACAACTGCTCCCAAGGTATATAAGAAAGACTCTCCATTACAGAAGTAGTGCAGGGTAGTGTCAAGAAGACCCAGTATCTTTTTTTGTTTCTCTTTCCATTTACATTCTTATAATCATTGCGTATATTGTTTTCCTGGTTCTGCTGACTTCACTCTACATCAGTTCATATAAGTCTTCTAATGCTTCCTTGTACTCTTCCTATTCATCTTTTCTTAACATCACAATAATAGTCCCTTGTGTTCACGTGCCACAAGTTGTTTAGCCACTCCCCAGTTGAAGGAAATTTACTTTGTTTCCAGTTTCTTGTTAACACGAAAGTAAGTGGAAAATAAGTTCTGCTTTGGACATGTTAAGTTTGAGATGTCCATGGGACATCAGGTTAGAAATGTCTATCAGATATTTTTAACAGGTCATGCACAATTGGAGATCGGGAGAGAAAAAAAGGGCTGGCTATAAAGATCTAGGAGTCATCAGCTTTAAAATGATAATTGAATTCATGGGAGTTAATAAGACAAAAAAGCATAAAGAGAAAGACTGAGAAGAAGGTCCAAGGCAACAATGATTAATCTGCTTATGCCACAATCAAAGGCAATTACTCCAGATTCATAAGTCACATGTAGATATACAGTATGTATGTTAAATTACTCTTGTATACAGTAGGCCAAACACAGGAGTCACAGGCAGAAATATACTACATATAACATCATATAACAGCATCACTTACAGAGGATATATACTATGAAGGTTACACAGAAATACAGAGTACATCACACATTGAGATTTCATACAAAGTATACCTTATATACACAAAACATACTTTATAGTGATATGCATAACACCTCAGTTACTCAGTCAACAAGCATTTGTTAAGTGCCTCGGATGTCTCAGAAACTGAGCTAAGTGCTGGGGATACAAATAAAAGCAAAAACATTACCTCCTGTCGGGGAGCTTACAATCTAATGGAGGAGACAACCTGCAAACAGCTATGTGCAAAAAAGATAGAAACAAGGAAAATAGAGTAATCTCAGAGGGAAGGCATTGGGGCAGGGGAGGAAAGGCTACTTGCAGAATGTAGAATTTTTCAAACATTCAAATGCAAATTTTTCAAATTTCAAATTAAAGGAAGCCAAGGAAACCAGGGATAGATGAGGAGGGAGAAAAATCTGACCATGAGAGACAGCCAGTAAAAATGCATGGGGTCCAAGGATAGAATGTTTCTTTTGAAGAACAGCAAAGAGGTCTGTGTCATTGGTTTGGAGAGAGGGAGTAAAGTGTAAGAAGAGTAGAAAGGTAGAAAGGGAACAGGTTATGGAGGGCTTTGAAAGGCAAACAGGATTTTATATTTGATCCTGGAGATAATAGGAAGCCTGGAGTTTATTGAATTTGGGGGTGGGGGTAATGTAAGAAGATCACTTTGGTAGCTAAGTGGAAAATGAACTGGAATGGGGAGAAACTTGAGGCAGGGGAGCCAACCAGAATCTTTTGCAATTGTCCACATTTAAGGGTGTGTAAGGACCTGCACCAAGGGGGTGGCAATGTCAAGGGAAAGAGGGAGACCATGTGAGATATATTGCAGAGGTAGAATTGACAAGACTTGACAGTAACAAATGACAAAGACTTGGACATGAGGAATTAGAGAGATTGAGGAGTCCTTCATGACACCTAGTTAGTAAGCCTGGGTAACTGGAAGGATGCTGGTGTTCCCCAAAGTAATAGGGAAGTTTGGAGAAATGGGAGTGGTTTGGTGGAAAGATAATTAGTTATGTTTTGGAAATGTTGAATTTAAAATGTCTATGGTCATCCCGTTTGAGATGGCCAATAGGCAATTGGAAACAAACGGAAGTTAGTTAAGTGAGAAATATCTGCATAGAGGTGTTAATTGAGTCCATGGGCCTATGGAGATCACCAAGTAAAAGAGTAGAGAGGGAGAAAGAGGACACAGGACAGTGTTTCGAAGGGACACCCACAGTTAAAACATCATATGTTGACCAGGTCAATGGCCCACACATGGTTCATTTCTACCAACTCACACTGTTGCCTATTCCGGGAATATCCTCCCCACCCCCTCTTCATCTACTTATCCTTGAATTTCTACCTACCCTTAAGTGGGTGGACATATTAATGAGGAGGTGGGCTAAAAGTCTTCAACTCCTCCAGCTGAGAACCTGACTTGATCATGGTCCTCCCACCTCCAGCAATCTGGACTTAAGAATCCATCTCTACTCAGACCACTCTGGTTTATTTTCTCCTTCATAAGCTGGGTCACCCTAACTTCTAATAGAAGGTTCCAAGGACAGGAGCTTATTTCCTAAGGGCAAGAACTTACCTAGCCTGAATTCTGTTTGTAAGGTCTTCAAGTTAGGTGGGGTCCCGCTCAAGATCTAGAAACATGTAGCCAGAAGATTTAGGCCATCTCATCTATCAGCAACGTCCTTCAGAGAATGGCTGAAGGCCCATAGGGGCTGGTCCCTGAATGAGGAAATAGAAAGGAAAAACCTTAATCCTAATTTGATAATTGGTTATTAATTTAAGAAAAAAGTAATCATTTCTCTCACCTGGAATGCTTTCTCTCCTCACCTTTTCCTCCTGTCTTCCTTGACTTCCTTTAAGATTCAGCTCAAATCCCACTTTCTGCTCTTGAGGCCCTTCCTAGTATGTCCCCCCGCCTTAGCCTCCCCACTTTCTAGTGCCTTTACTTTGAGATTACCTTCTATCTACTCTGTATATATCTTGTATAAGAATAGGTGTTTCATGTTGTCTCTCCCATTAGAATGTGCACTTCTGGAGGGTAGAGACCAACATAGTAAGTTCAATTCAAGTTAATACACATTAATTAAGCACCTACCATGTGCCAAGCCCTGAGGATATAAAAAGAGGCAAAAAAACAGTCCTTGCCTTCAAGGAGTTCACAGCTTAATGTGGGAGACAACATGCAAACAAATACATACAAAGCAAACTCCATACAGGATAAATCGGAAATGATCTGTTTGGTTGTTGTCCTTTGCTCTCCAAGAGGACCAAAATGACATCACTATGTTAGAAGTCAAGGTACAGTGTGTCTGACTGTGGCTGATCAATCATACAAATCATATTTTCATATTATCATCTTGTGAAAGAAGACACACCAAAGGAAAAAAAAACACAAAAAAAGTTTAAAAAATAGTATGCTTCAACTTTCATTCAGACTCCATCAATTCTTTCTCTAGAGATGAATAGCATTTTTCATTATGAGTCCTTTGGAATTGTGTTGGATCATTGTATTGCTGAGAATAGCTAAGTCATTCACAGTAGATTATCACACAATATTGATGTCACTGTGTAGAATGTTTTCCTGGTTTTGTTCACTTCACTTTTCATCAGTTCATGTAAGTCTTTCCAGGTTTTTCTGAAATTCATCTGTTCATCATTTCTTATAGCACAATATTATTCTATTACAATCATATACCCCAACATGTTCAGCCATTCCTCATCCAATTCTTTGCCACTACCAAAAAGAGCTGTTATAAATATTTTTGTGCAAATAGGTCCTTTTCCCTTTCTTTAAAAATCTCTTTGGATTACAGACCTAGTAGTGGTATTGCTGAATCAAAGGGTATGCACAGTTTTATAGCCCTTTGGGCATAATTCCAAATTACTCTTGAAAATGGTTGGATCAGTTCACATACCACCAACAGTGTATTTATTAGTGTTCCAGTTTTCCCACATCACTTCCAACATTTATCATTTTCCTTTGCTGTTATATAGTCAATCTGATAGGTGTGAGGTGGTACTTCAGAATTGTTTTAATTTGCATTTCTCTAATCAATAATAATTTAGAGCATTTTGTCATATGATTTTAGATAGCTTTAATATCTTCCTCTGAAAACTGCCTGTTCATATCCTTTGACCATTTATCACCTGGGAAATGACTTGAATTCTTATAAATTTGACTCAATTCTCTATATATCTGACAAATGAGGCCTTTATCATAGACACTTGCTCTAAAGATTGTTTCCCAGCTTTCTGGCTTTCCTTTTAATCTTGGTTACACTGGTTTTGTTTGTGCAAAACCTTTTTAATTTAATATAGTCAAAATTATCCATTTTACATCTAGTAATGTTCCCTATCTCTTATTTGGTCATAAATTTTACACTTTTCCATAGATCTGACAGGTAAACTATTCCTTGCTGTCCTAATTTACTTATGGTATCACGCTTTATGTTTAAATCATGCACCCATTTTGACTTTATCTTGGTATATGGTGTGAGATGTTGGCCTATACCTAGTTTCTGTCATACTGTTTTCCAGTTTTCCCAGCAGTTTTTGTCAAATAATGAATTTTTTTTTTTAAGGCAATCGTGATTAAGTGACTTGCCCAAGGTCACACAGCTAGTAAGTATCAAGTGTTTGGTCTGAGGCCAAATTTGAACTCAGGTACTCCTGACTTCAGGGCCGGTGCTCTATCCACTGCACCACCTAGCTGCCCCTAAATAGTGAATTCTTGTCCTGAAAACTGGGGTCTCTGGTTTTATCAAACGCTAGAGTATTATAGTAATTTACTGCTGTGTCTTGTAGAAGGTAGGATTTTAGTTGAGACTTTAAGAATGCTAGGGAGGTTGATAGTTGGAGTAGAGGAAGGCGTGCTTATTAATAAATGCTTTTTGACTGATTAGCACAGTAGTACAGACATGGGTTGCCCTGGGTAGAGTACAAAGGTTCAACTCCTCTCTGCCTCTGGACTTTTGTATCTTGTCAATACTTTGATGCTTGCATATGGCTTTGTCCTTCCCTCCAAGAAATGCTTAGCACCAGAAGGACAAGCACATGCCATTGAGGCTTTCGAATGGAGTCAGGGGAAAAAGACAAGAGAGAAAGGGGGTGAGTAGTAGACGTGGAAGGAAGCTCCCCAGATGACCTCCCCCTTCCCACCATGGTTTGACAATATCCGGAAGAGTTTTGTTCTCCTCTGCAAGT